AGATTTGCTTTGTTGAACTTCAGGTAGATAGGGTTTAGTTAGTTTCGAAAATTGCAATTTAGTTAAGGGTTCACTCGATCGAATTTAAGGTGAATAGGTTTAACTGGGTATTAAAACCTGTGTTTGTTTCAAGGTACGCTTGATTGATCACGAAGTATGTTTGCTTTGAACCAGCAAAGTATAAATAAAAAAAAATAAGTAAATTTTTATTGAATTTTATTTTTAAGGGAACAGTGTGTGGATGTGCGAATGCAAATAAGTCCTATAAATACTCGATTAAACGATAAGATTTTAATTATAACAAGAAAAATTAAGAAAACAAGTCGCATTTAGCTAGCATAAAAACCCTAGTCACAGGTAAGGGAAAGCAATTCAAAAACGATCAAGTATAACGCAACTTAAATAACTAGAAATAAAAATAATAGAACTTAATTGTACACTATAATCAACAAAAAAGGAGGGAGAGAAGTACGGTTCACTTTCTCCTCGATAATTATACGGAACGGCCATTTCGATAACGCTACTTACGTTCTATTCGCGACACTGTCTGCATACAAGTGCAAGAAGAGAAAACGTTTCTTACAGCAGCGCAATGCCGAGGTTTGAGTCACAGTTTGAGCACAATCAAGCTGGACGCTGTGATGTAAAGCCCCTGAGGATGCTGGAATTCTCAGCTAGGTTGATGATGCCAGAGGCCCTATGTCGCTGTCTCTTGTGGACACAAGCAGGAGCCCAATGCATAGAGTTTCTGAACTCGTAGTAAAACGCTCGCACGCTTAGCACTGATGCTCAGGCTTGCTCGCATTCACTACTCAAGTGGAGAAACAAAGAGGCACTTGAATTGAACACTGCTTCGTTTATACGACGACTAATTCTTCTGACCGCTTTTCCGAGCAACGGTGACGAGAACACGCCCTCACAGATCGAAGCTTGACTCAGAAAAAAAGAGAAAACAACAGTATCTATTTCCATGAGGTGCACTTTTACCTTTTTCGTCAAGTGCGACACGTATAGTGGCGGCTGAGCAAACTTATGCGTTGGTGAATTTCTTTCCTTTTTAAAACATACAGAGGCAAGACCAGTATAATGAATGAATGACAAAAATGAAGTAAAATTAAGAATAACGAAAACTTCAAAACACGATATCTCTGCGAAAAAAAAAGTAAACTCAACACCATTTAAAAGTTCATGAAAGTTCAAAAGTCGTTTAAGCTGTCCTGTGTAGTTTTTTAGGTATACTAAAACCTGTCAAGTCTCATAACCTAACAGTTTTATTGACATCAAATGCAAATGTTATTTAGAACAAAAACAACAATTTTCTATTAATTTAATCATTAAATAAAAGCTGATAATAAATTAAATAAAATTATTTTTATTCAAACCCATTTTTTTTTAAATCGGCTACGTAAATTGATTTTAAAAAATATATCAAAATGTATCTTATATATGTAGAAATAATTTTGAAAATGTTATGTTCTCTCAAAAATAATTATGAGAGAACACGACATTTTCGATTATCGTTATTCAGGCAAACCATGACTAAATCTATTCAAATGATAAAAATTTTGATTTAAAATCTTAAGGTATTAGTAAAAATAAAAGTTGATAAATAAATACCAAAATAAATTAATTTATTTTACGGTTGATTTGAATGTATTTGAAGCTAACTATTAATTTTTTTTTTCAATAATTTAATTTTGATCAATTATTTTTGTGATTATATTTGAGATAGTAACCGCTTTCAACAATGAATTCAATGTTGTAACGGAGTATGCTTTTTATTGTGGCAAATTTAGCAAAGTTATTCACCTATCGTCTTTGTCGTCGATCCTCACGCCGTCAACTCACCTTGGTTACTTCTGTGCGCCCCGTTAAAGTGTCTACGCGTGTACGTATTTGTTTCCTCGCAGCGGAGTAGCTGGTCTTGAAAATGTGTGCGAATCGTACAATGCATGCACAAGGGAGATCAGGTTCGAAATTCGTATCATTGACGGACCGGGAGTACGGAGTAGGAAAATTAATTGTACACTCGATTACGACACACGGATTTTTATTAATAGACTTTCTTTACACTTCGTTATTAGTAAATCAAGCTATACATAGCTGCCAGGAGCTGCGCACTTATCATTAACGTCGCACGGAGAGAGAGAGAGAGAATTAGGTATCGTACTCGGAGGCGTAGCTGAAACAATTACGGGGGACGATGCAACGAGTAATATACAGGGTGTTCAAAAAGTTCCGGGACACCCCAGTAAGTCCTGAGATATAACTATTTCCGAGGAGATTAAGGTCATTCCTGAAGTAACTTTGAACGAGGAATCCAGTGGTGACCTTGGTTTTGACCTTGAACTTGAGCCTCAAGGTCAATTCAAGGTCTGCTTTTTTTTCAAATGGGAACCCCTATTTTTGACAACGGCAATCGAAAGAGCGGGAAATTTTACGTCTAAAACGGTATTTTTAAATTTTTTTTTCATGGCCTTGAGAAGGTCGATTTAAGGTCAAATTCTTGAAAAACTGCCTAAAAGCGTTTTTTTAATTTTTAAGATATCGAAAAATGACCTCTACAAAATTTGTTCAGAACAGAGTGGGCCACTCAATGCACCAAAAACCTTTGACCTTTAAACTCATTTTGAAGGTCATTTCAAGGTCGAAGAGTTTTTTTGTAATGGAAACCCCTCTTTTTGACCCCGGATTCGCACATAGCGCGAAATCCGACGTTTAGATAAGGTATTATGTTGAGTTTCGATTGATCCACGACGTTCATCGCTAAGGTCATGTGAAATTTAGATCCAATATTTTTCGCGAAACATTTACGAAATGTTTCGGGCTAAATTTATTAAATTCTACTGGGAGCATGTTACAGTGACCTTATCTTTGACCTTCAAGATCATTTTAAGGTTATTTCAAGGTCACCTTTGATTGTTTGAATAATAAAATAACGAGTTATCCAAACCGAAAGTCAAGTTGTTTTAAATGAGGAGCAAGCAGAGACATAGGTACAGTTTTTTTGCCGGATAAGTTTTTTCCACTCACTGCGTTTTGAATATTTCTTTCTGATTTCGCGCTATGTGCGAATCCGGGGTCAAAAATAGGGGTTTCCATTACAAAAAACACTTCGACCTTGAAATGACCTTCAAAATGAGGTTAAAGGTCAAAGGTTTTTGGTGCATTGAGTGGCCCACTCTGTTCTGAACAAATTTTGTAGAGGTCATTTTTCGATATCTTAAAAATTAAAAAAACGCTTTTAGGCAGTTTTTCAAGTATTTGACCTTAAATCGACCTTCTCAAGGCCATGACAAAAAATTTAAAAATACCGTTTTGGACGTAAAATTTCCCGCTCTTTCGATTACAGTTGTCCAAAATAGGGGTTCCCATTTGAAAAAAAAATTGACCTTGAGCTTGACCTTCAAGGTCATTTCAAGGTCAAAACCAAGGTCACCACTGGATTCCTCGTTTAAAGTTACTACAGGAATTTTGTTTGTGGACACTCTGTATAACGCGAACACGCGGTTTTGCTATTCTCTGGGGTAATTCTAATCCATTCGACTTATTTTACGAGTATAAATCAGCTGTAGGCAACAGCAAACGTCAGCTGGAACGTCACCTTCGAGGACGCGCAAATTGGCCATCAAAGGAAGATGTCGGACGACCGAATCGCGTCTCTCGACTTATCTTCGCCGTTGATCCTTTTTACCATTTCGGTAGGTCCGTCCGAATCGAAAGTCTCTCAACGAAACTTATCAAATAATTCTTTTGAATGGAGGATTAATCCACCGAAGGGCAAAGTCCCTTCACGAATGCCGGTTTCGGCCTGCTAGCGTAATCTCTCTCTCTCTCTCTCTCTCTCTCCCTATCACGGATGCGCGCGCAGCGCGAAGACTCACAATTAATGGAGAGTAGGTTACTGACCGGTGCTCACGATGGTGGCGGAGGACCATAACGAACGACTCTCGTTACAATATATTATATATATAATTTACTGTAACAGTGGTCATCAAACAATAAACGACAAAGAAGATTATAACACTTTGTCAGATAATCTTATTAAATTTTTTCAAATGTATGCATAGAAAATTAGATGATAATAATCTTTCATGAATTTACACTACTGACATATGCTTTTTGATGATTTGATTGATAGAAAGTTTTGTTTTAATTTCCATTTTTAGCTTGTTGATTGGAAGCAAATCTAAAATACCAATTGTCATTAATATAATATGTAATTTAACAGAAAAATCAGTAAATAATTTTCTTCTGATAAAAAAAAGTTTGGAAATAATACTAAAAATTTTGTTTCCACTTGGAAAGTACTGAATTCATAGAAATTAATATTTGTTAACATATTTCACAATTTCTTTCACAATAAATATCATATTATATATTTTCATACGATAGTTAATTATACTTTATTTAAATTTCGTAATTGATACTTTATTAGTAATACTTTTGATTTTAATTGAAGAAATATATAGTATAATTGTTTTAGTATTGACATTTTTTGAATGTTAATTTTAGCATTTCTTGATATACCACTTAACCTACTCTAAATATTTATTTTATTTAAATATATGAAACAAATGAAGAATGTTCAATAAAAACTTAAATAAAGTAAATGAGGGGTAAAAAATTTATAGAGAAACTAAATTATGTTCGTATTTATAAAGAGCTTCAAACAAAGGCTATTGTTTATTGGTTATAGATAAGAACGATGCACTGAGAGTTGTTAAAGATTTTACTGCACTGGAAACACTGTTAGTAAACAAGAGTGTGTCTACTGATACGAGTCTTTACTTTTTAGTAATGTTGGATAACAAGTGATTATCTATAACTCTACAGTAGGGATAATTCACCTTAAATAATATTTTCATTTTTAAATTATTTTTTATAGTACGTTATTCAAGTGATAACTGTCGACTCGAAAATATTACCCCTCCGTTACATTTTGAATAAATTAAATCGTTTCATGATTCAGCTAGCTTCCTTCCCATCTCACACCTGAGAAATTATTTCTGATATAAAATGCATTGTAGAAACTCTTGACTTTGGACAAAGCATCACATAAATAGTTGGCATTAGGAAGTTTTTTCTGATTATTACAGAATTGTGAGTTGCATTATAATTTTTTTTGTAATCGCTAAGCCTCACGTTTCTTTGCTGATTATTGCGACATCTGGAATAGGTCTGAACCTTCGGCACCTAGAACATAAAATATTTATGTTTCCATCAAAGAGCTTTAGTAATTCCTTATATTTTGAGTACATAAGAGAATATAACTATTTCCAGTTAATTTTGCTAATCACTTTAACCTGCTAAAAAGAAAGCAGTTGTATAAAAATTAATATGATCAAGATTCGGGTCGTGAATCATAAGCGAGTGGGCACGACCAACTGCAGCAGTGTTCAATACTCTTATACAGTAAAATGGCCAATTTGTGTTCCGGTAAAAGGGTTTCTATTTTCATTTTATTTTAATTCATTACGTAATAATACTTATATGAGTAGATTCGAATGTCTTACCATCTTTGATATAAAAACGTTTCAGTTTAATTGAGACAATTTCCAGAAAGTTATTTTCAGATAAAGATTTAGATTGTATATTTCAATAATTTTCTCTACATCAATTTCATTATATTAGCTTTTTCTGAGGTAAATACGTTTGTGTCAGGGTAATTTTGAAATCATATTAAAAGTTGCGATAATATTACTTATAACTATCAACAATTAAGTTCAAGCGTTATTCCAATGCTTAAATCCGCTTATCTAAAGAAACTTCATATCCTTTCTTTCTATTATTTAAACTTTATATGTGTTACTTATTATTTATTTACGATTTATCTGATTAGAAACTTCATAACTGGGGGTTTCCGTTATTCTTTTACAAGTTTTCTATGTGATCAGTTTCGGTCGATAGCCAGCTTCACCACTTTAGTTTTTTCAAGCAAACGTAACTAATAATTTACATCATTATATACAGTTGAATTTTAGTTTCTTTTGCGTAAATGATATAAAGTATTTATACATATTTATAAAACATAAGAAAATTTTATTTGGTGATGAATTAATCATGTCTAAAAAATTAGTCATGTTTAGAAAAGACAAAAAAAGCTAAAGTACAAAATAAAAATATTATTCAACATATAAAAGTAAAGTGCAAAATCACATAATGGTTTCCAAAAATAAATAATTTATATACTATATAAGGTACGTAAAAATTGATTTCATTAAAAAATGATCAGATATGACAGATTGATACTGTTATAGATATTTGAGAAAATGATAAAATGAAATACAAAATAACCAAATAATAATAAATATAGGACGGGTAAAGAGGAAACATTACCTTGCGTTATTTTCGGCAGTGTGAGGTGGGAGACAACATGGTGGTGGCGGCAGGGATGGTGGCTCATCTGAGGTTTTTATGGCTAAACCGTTACAACTGTCAGAGTCGTTGTCACTGCTTTCTGTCGGTTGTTTAGCTATTTCATCAATTAGATGAGAAGGTACGCCACGTGCATAGAAGCGAGGTAGTATTTCCGAATTGGGCCTCGTTCGTTGCTGTTGAGGCCTTTGAAACCTAAAATTCAACTGGCTCATATCTCTCGTATACTTCTCGCTTTGTCGTCGACGGCGTAATGCTGGTGTACAGCCCATAAGATTATCCTCTTCAGTTGAACTCACAGATGTCATACTGCTAACTAGATTTGGTCGGGCGTCTGGCAGGGTAGCACATCGTCGTAGAAACAGTCCTCCATCAGTTGACTGCGGCCAAAGTAATCTTGATGCTGTTAAATACGCATATACATAAAATAGTAGGCTAAATTTTTTCGTTTTATATGCGTAATTCTATCTTATTTGTGATTCTCAAAAAATAAGATAAACAAAAAAGAAATACGAAGAATGAAAAAGTAAATCGTTATTGATAACGTTTTTATATTAGGTAAACTGTATTTTCAATAATTATTTCAAGAAATATAATATAAATGAATGTATTTATAACTAAGATTTTTGTGTAAATATAAGTAAAGGAACTAAAAATAATATTCATATAATATATTTGTTTCATCAGACGAGAAATTGTGAAGAGTATTTGTGTATCAATAGACAGTGAAGAATCGATTATGTACTAAAAATTATCTTTTCTAAATTAAATGATCAATGTATAAGATTAGCTCACTTGAATCATTATCTTTAGCCAATATATTGGTAAATAATGCTTTGTTAGGATCACCACTTGCATAAGTTTTCGAGTTGACTGTATTGGTTTCTAGAGTGGATTCGGATAAAGAGCATCTGGGACTTCTCACTGGCACAGGTATTTTGCTGTAGCCACTATGAAATTTATTTATCGATTCTTTATCTTTGGTTTCTTTGACCCCAGAACATAGTATAGCTGTAGATACTCCTGTTGGAATATCTGTTGTTGCAGTAATTGTATTTGCATTACTATGAGTTAAAACACGATTTTCTATGGCGTCATAGTAAACTGATTGCTCGTCAGGTCCAAGATTTAGAGTAGCAGGACTACTAAAAATTCCGTTTATACATTTTTCTACAACACAAAATGTAAATATAAATAAATGAGTTTATATAAATAAATAACTTAAATAAGCAATAAAAGTAATATGACAAATACTTTGGATAGGTTCCTTATCAGCAGTAGTTTGTACAACCGTAGTACCTTCAGTTGTATTAACTAGTCGGATTTCGAGTCTAGCCGCAACAGCTTGCTCTTCTTCATCGGTAACAGGCGTGACTGGAAAACCTTGCTGACCGAAATACATGACCGGAACACTTGCTCTCCTTGGTTTAGGAGTTTGCTTTAGTTCATCGTACCGTGTCGCTATATTCCTCATTACGTCGACTTTATATAATAAATCATCAAAGGCAGCTTGCTGAATCTAGGTTGTAAAATTGTATGAGCTCAGTATTTATGTATATTTATAAAACATGAATCTATATCCAAATCATGCTAAAAAAAGAATTTACCAATGGCGGTTCTAAATGAATACGAACATGCGGCGCAAGCGCTGGAACACTCCATGCTCTTGGTAAACCTCTTTGAAGTTCAGGGTATTTTTCAATGCCAGTAATATTAAGACATCTTGATGAAGAAATAGGTTTCGGCAAATTTTCATTGATACGAGACAAAATATTTTTTCCGGACTGGGCTTGTGGTAACAATAATTGAGCTGAACCTGTATACGAGTGCGGTACTGTTCCAATATTAGTTTCTTCTGATAATTGAGGAAGAGAGATGACTGGTACAGCAACATCATTTACTGCAGTTGACTGAAAAATGAGTTGCATTAATTAATTTTTTATTATTTTCTAGAAAAATTAATAGATAAGGTTATTAATAATTTGAATTTTATATTTTCTATAAAAAAAGTATGTTCAAAATGTATTAATAGTTAATTACTTTTAAAATTACAAAAATTCTGGTTGTTTAATATTTATTTATAACCCTGTAATTGTATTGTTAATATTGTGAATAATAATCTATTTTAATATAAATAAATTGATGAAATTCTGGTATTAGCAGCACTTATAGCTTACAAATAAACAAACAAAATTTCTAAGTCTGAAATTGTATGCAACAAAATTTTAAAAGAAGATAATATTATTTTGAAAGATGTTATAGAAATTTTTATCTACCACAATTTTAGTTTGTAATTGGGATTTGATACGTACTACTGTGGGCAAAAAGTAAGGTGAATTTTCAATTTAAACTTCGCGGGCTTAACATTTCGGGCTAGTTCTTTTTTTCTTGAGTTGGTAGGACTGCGAATGACATTTGGGACAAATTTCATGTCAATGTCATCATCAGTAATATATTTACGCTTGGGTTTACCAAACGACCAAGAGTGCATGTTTCGATTTTTACAATGTCTGATTTAATTGAGCAAAGAAGTGCCATCAAATTTTGTTTGCGGAATGAAATTTCGGCTGCGGAAACGTTGAGGATGTTGCGGAAGGCCTTTGGTGATTCTACCATGTCGCAGATAAATGTTTATAAGTGGTACAAAGACTTCAAAGAGGGTCGAGAACGTGTTGATGACTTGGAGCGCTCCGGACGACCATCGACGTCAACAGATGACCAACACGTAAATAAAGTGAAGGAATTAGTGCTCGAAAATCGTTGGTTGACTGTTAGAGACCTTACTGATATAATCGGAATATCAGAAGGATTGTGAAAACAATTTTGAAAGACCATTTGGGCCTACGAAAAGTCAAATCTCGTTTGGTACCGAAAACGCTCAATTTTTTGCAAAAAAGTCGCCGCGTTGATGTGTGTGAAACAATACTTTCTGACTATAAGGACAAGCTTGCATCACGATAATGCACCATCTCACACTGCACTCGTTCTTCGTGACCATTTTGCCAAAAATTCGACGCATATCGTTCCGCAACCACCGTATTCGCCTGATTTGGTTCCGTGTGACTTCTGGCTATTCCCAAAACTCAAGAGACCACTCCGGGGAACGCGTTTCGAGTCGATTGAGGAGATAAGAGCTGAATCGAAGAAGGCGCTGATGGCTATACCGGAAAGGGACTATTTGGCATGTTTCGAGGATTGGAAAAAACGTTGGCATAAGTGTATTTTATCGGGAGGGGATTACTTCAAAGGGGATGACATTGATGTAGAAGAATAAATAAAGATTTTTCATTTTACAAACAAATTCACCTTACTTTTTGCCCACAGTAGTATGTGGGCGGAAGTTATGTCAACATAGCGACATGAAAGCGCACATTAAAGATAATAGATAATAAGTATAGATAATACTCGGAATAAGTAGCATAGATTATGTAACAGTTTTTTACAAAATATTCATGAAAAATATATAAATAGACGACTATATTTAGTAGAGATAGTTAAAGTTAATCAATCAAAAAAATTTTAAATGGAATTATGAAATAAAAATATTTTTAACTATCTATATTTTAATAATTGTTTTTCTTTAAAGAAAGCTTGTGATCTGTAATGGAAGATGGATATTCAGTCAACTTTCAACCGTTAATTATTGTAATGGTCCTATCTATGAGCTCCTAGACTATTTTCTTATTCTTACTGTATTACGGCAACCCGCTAAACTAGCAAATCTACACTAATTATTTCGTATATAGAACGGCGCCAACTCACGTATTATATGATTTTCTTAGAGCAAGAATCAAATTTCATGACTATATAAGAAGCGTTACGTCACTCTACTTATAGATATAGATATGCCAATTTTTATTATTCAATTAAAATGCGTTATTAATAGTAATTTCAATGAATCAAAGTAATTTTTATGTGAATTTTAGGCCATAAATTAAGATTATCATGTTTTCAAGTACTTTTAACTATTGAATATCATTGAATTTTAATGTACAAACTTAATTTATTTATAACTTTGCAAATATTATGACAATATTAAGAACATGAGTAAATATTCGGTTTACAATAGCGCAACTTAGTTACTATTGTTATCAGTAAATAAAAAATTCATAATTTATTTAAACAAATAAAAATATAATAATCGAAAGCGTTAATTTTCTACTTACTGACAAAATTTTTAGATCTCATAATTTTTAATTAGCCGATTTTATATTTACATTATAAGATTTTCCAAAAAACGAAAATTAATTATTACTTAGATTTGAGTAGTTCTTATTTGTAATTATATCTACAAGCGATAAATTATTTTTATACGTAAAAAATTCTTGTTATTTTATTGAAAATTTTGCTCTATTGAATTACCTAACTCTGTTAGTTAATAACTTTTAACTACGATTTTTGCGATAATTGCGAATTATGCGTAAATTATTTATATTACATTTCGTATTTTCACACTATTATAATTTCCTTTAGCATTGTTTGTTTTATTGTAAACAAGATAAAATGATTTTGCACATTTGCAGAAACAGCGTGAAAACGTGCATCCGGCAAAAATGGAGCTCTAAAATCTGTATATAAATAGGTTCAATTTTATACAGGTGAGAGGTATTCTCTCCTAGCCGTGTAAAGTGAGCACTTGAAATTGAATAAACTTGGCTTATGCTGAGTTGTTTCTCTCTTATGATTAGCTAAGCAAGCCTACCTTCTTCTATAGTGATTTGCCCTCGACTCATAGAATACTTCGTGCTATGAGAAACTTGGTCTGAATCACATCCTTCTTTCTAATAGAGACTTATGCCCTGCTCTTGGAACACTTCGGACCATAAGAAACTATGACAAAAGCTGTCTTTCCTTAATTCCATTCCAAATAATTATATATTTTTATTACATAAATTTGATTTTGACATATAAGATTAAAATTGTTCATCATAAATAATATTAGATATATTTACTTAATAGCGCGAGAGACCATAAGAGTACGAACTAAATATAAATAATAAGTGATTAGCGACATCACACTATCTTTCATTGTAAGATTAATTGCTGCATAGTGATGCAGATGAGCCAAAAAATAGTCAAAATATTTGAATAAGTTGAATTTAACTTAAAAAATCAACTTGCAATATACTGTTTTAATGTATTTTGAACAAAGGAATCCAAATTCGTTTCCCACGACAACCCACGATTACTCCTTTGTGCAAAAATATGCGTTTATAGCAAGTGAACAGCCAATAAATTCGTTTTCTTTATTTATTTATTTCTAGAGTAAGTACATAAGTTACATACATAGCAATGTACATCATACATTACAAAATATTACAACCCATCAGAGATAATATATACTTGTGCGATGGTCTGGCTTATAATTACAGAAGAAAAAAAGAAAAAAAGAAAAGAAGGAGAAAAAAAAACTTAAAAACAAAGGAAAATAATATTTACCAAAAACAACAATTGTACAGCTTGCCTAAATAAGCAGTAAGTACTACCATATTAAGCAGCAAAAATGTAATCTAAATATTGTACTATTCTATTGCTATCTTTTTCATCAGAATCTAATAAACATCTGTCTTGCTGTGTCGTAATATTCCATGCTAGCTTTCTTTTCTTTTGCGTATATTATCCTATCCATCTTGTTTAGACGGACCGGATAAGTGAGTTTAATCGCACATTTTTCCCTATAGTGTGGGATCATCTTATGATGTCGTATAATATTGATGTTAATGCAAATGGATGTGAATACCACATCATCTACAACTATTAGGTCTTTATGTTTTGATTGAAATATTAGCGAGTAAACTGAGTTAGTGAAAGTTTACGTTACTTGAGTTCCTATATCAAAATAGAGAAGAGCTTTTTGTTTCCCAGATAGCTGATATCTCCGTATGTCATCCTGTTACAGTTTGCAGACTGTAATGGTTTCCCAGGGGTTGGCAGTACTTTTTGCACTAAAATCGTGTTAGGGTTTTCAACAGCTATGTTATCATAGTGTCAAATACAATTTCGGTGAGTTCGTATTTTGCCTTATGATTGAATTTTTCAAATTCTGATTTTGAAGTTGTGGCTTTCATAAATTATATACATGGTGACCCGTTTTAAAGGAACAACCCCGAAATTTTCTACGGTTGGCATTCTATAAAAAAATTGTTCAGATAAAAGTTGTTTGGGATAATGAGGGACACATTTCCCAAAAATCGGATTTAACTTTGAGATTTATTTTCAAGGTCATTTTAAGGTCAAATTCATTTTTTGAATAGGAACCTATAATTTTGAGCTTTTATCATTTTTTATAATAAATAATAAATTTATTATTTTCTTCATCTATGTACAGTGATGATCGGGCAAGGGTAAGGTAATAAACCAATAACTCAAATAACCCAATAACCAAATAATCAAGTGATATTTTTAATACTCATTTTTAATATCCCATTTTTTATCATGGATTTAGAAAGAGCGGAAAATTCTACGTTTAGGTAAGGTATTATGAGTGGGGTGCGATCAACCCCCCTCCTATACCTCCAGGGCAAGGGTGAGGTTAATAATAATAATAATAATAATAATAATAATAATAATAATAATAATAATAATACGGGGATAAGGAGGACGACACGAAAAAACGACACGAACCTACTGAACTTACCAAGACGACAGAGGACGGACAGTGTGTCATGCGGCGGCAGCGGGGTGAGCTACGTCTCTACCGCTGACAGCCAAGAACCGACGACAGGACGAACACCCACAATAACAAACGACACACGAGGTGTGACGGAACTGCTGTGGCTCATACAAGAAACGGCGACGAAAATGGCCAAAGCAGCAAACGTACAAAAAAACATGACCATGACAGTGAAGACGGGAATTAAGACAATTCTCGAGACTGTGGACATCGCGCTGCACAAGCGATCGGACTCAG